TATGGATAAACATTACCCCGGTAGAAGATTATCCATACCGGGTATAATAAGCTTATCCTTTCAATACCCAATTATGGATAAACATTACCCTCGGTAGAAGATTATCCATATCAGGTATAATAAGCTTATCATTTCAGTACCTAGTTATGGATAAACATTACCCCCAGTAGAAGATTATCCATATCAGAGTATAATAAGCTTATCCTTTCAGTACCCAGTTATGGATAAACATTACCCCGATAGAAGATTATCCATATCGGGTATAATAAGCTTATCCTTTCAGTACCCAGTTATGGATAAACATTACCCCCGGTAGAAGATTATCCATATCGGGTATAATAAGCTTATCCTTTCAGTACTCCGTTATGGACAAACATTGCTCTCAGTAGAAGATTATCCATATCTGGTATAGTCGCAACTTACACAACAGCTTCCTTTCTTCTATAAATAGAAGAGATTTCAGTTCATTATGTACATCAGTTTGAATTCGAATAATATAACAGTTTCTCTCTATACTTGTCTTTACTTTAGAGACTTTATTTTATGACAACTTTGCCTTAAAGATGGTATATTTTCCATGTATTATTGTTCTTTATTGTCAGTTCAACTGGCTGAGGATGTGCAAAAAGTTAACTTCCCTTCAAGCTCTAAACCAAGGCATTGTGCGGCCCATTGTTGTTGCGATGGCTTGGTTATTATCGAGGTTTCTAATAATGTTGGCGATGAACGCTCCATACTTTTGCTATGGAACCCCTCCACGAGAGAATCAATATAACTTCATGATCCAGAATTTCCTCCGATGGATTTTCTCGTTTTGGATTGGGTTATGACTCAACTAGCGGTAACTATAAGATCCTTAAAATTAGCAATCACATAGATGATCCCAAATTACCTGGTGAGGTTCTCGAGCTGAAAGGTAGTTCCTGGAGAAAAATTGATAAACATCCTCGTGGCATTGGCAATGTGTTGTTTCGTACACATTCTTTGGCATTTGTATACGAGGCATTTCATTGGATCGGTATTTCAAGAAATCATTCGGTGGTTTCATTTAGTATTTCAAATGAAGTGTATTGAGAGATACCATTACCATAGCAAATATTATGCTTGAGGGGCAACATCTCTAGAGGCGTTTCAGTATTGGCTGAAGGAAAGCTTTGTGTTCGTTCTACTTCCATTCGTCAGGCGAAGGACACTTTTAAGTTATGGGTATTGAAAGACTATGGTGTCAAAGAATCTTGGGATGGATTGTTTACTACAGATGATCCCTGGCTTTATAAAGTTGTCCCAAAATATAGGTTTGCCGATGGTGAAATCCTATTCTGGTCCATGCATTTTCTACATATTGGGCACTTATTTAGGACATCTAGAGGACCATATGAATTATGACCTCAATGTAATACAGTTCAGAATGGAATTGCTTTTACAGAAAGCTTGATCTCTCCAAAATCACTACCTTCGTATTTGCTTATGCATGATCAAGGTGTTAGGGATATATTAGATATGCCCTAGATTCAATCTCATGTTTGATGATTTGAACATATTTTTTGTAAACGTTATTTGATATAAAAATATATGGCATTCTTTTATCATAGTCATTATTAATTATTTGATTAATTTGATAAGGTCCTTGATTAAATTTTGAGATTTATCATCGTGATAGAGATCATGATAACGAGAGCAAAGTCTCTTATAATTTAATCTAAATTTGTTCTTGGTCGTAGGATTATTAATTGGGACATTAGTAATCCGGTTAGATCAATATTTATGTGATCGTCTTTATTGGATAAAGATTAGTTGATCTCATTAACTAAATCACATAGATAGATGATGCATATAGAGATATGAACATTGAACCGACTCATTGGATAATTCCTAATGGTTAGAATTACCATAACTGTCAATAGGATATTCTCTTGAAGAATGTGATGTAAAAATTTCCTTTGACTTGAGATCATCATAGTAATTGACAAGTTATTTATTGTACTTTGATACTAGATACCTATGGCCCTAGGGCGATAGTTGAAAGGATATTGGGTATGATTAAATACTTGTAGAATTAGTGATTGATCAAGATGGAATCTGTCAACTCTTGGTAATGAGTTCAAGCTCCATGTTGTCATGAATTATAACCGACCAAATTAAGACCTTGGCCAGGGCGATTGAATGAAAGAAGAAAAGAGTTTCTTAAGTCATTCAATGGTTGATTATATTTTGACATGAACACATAGTTGGTTGCCTATTAGGATTTGACAGTTGAACCATATCCTAGGGTGATCCAGAGCTATAAGGACAGAAGAAATTACTACATTATTCTTCTACAGGTTCTTGAGAGTAAAATGTATACTTGATGCTATCCAGTCATTAAGGAGTGTTGCTAGACGCCACCCTTGATTAGTATATTGATGTGATCAATTTACTACCGGCTTAGTACTGAACCTATGGGGTCGCACACTAACGAGTGTTCTCATCTTTGCTAAAGGATTAATTGCTTTATTATTTGATAATTAAATTAAAGAATTTAATTAGTCAAATAAATTTAGTTATTAGTCCAAATGAAATATTGTTATATTCTTTGCTAACACAAAGGATATGATTAATATTGTGAACAAATTAAAGTTTTTTATTTGAAATAAAAAATTATATCTCTTGGTTGAAATATATATTATTTTATATTAGATATATTATATAAAATATTAATTAAACAACAACAGGTTGTTGAAAACTTATTGAGTGAAATCCAACTGAAATTTGGATTCACGTATAAAGTCCACAAAGGACTACGGCATATACGTAAATCCCATTAGGAATGGAATATAAGTTTTCCATTAGAAAAGCTTTATAGTACTCAATTAGAATTGGTATTTATGGAAAGGCTTGGCAGTTTCGAATGGGAATTCAATTTTCCATCGAAAATTTCCAAAACAGGTTTATTTTGGAATAAATTTTTACTCTAAGTAAATCATTAGATCAACCAAATAGGAAAGAGGGTTTATAGGTGGTGGCTATATAAAGGATGATGGAAAAAATTTGCCGTGTTATTAATTTCTTGAGAAGAAAAATATTTTGTAAAAGTGAGAGTGCAATACAAAGCCAAGAGAGAAAATACAATTACAAGAAAAGTGTTTCTTGTTCTTTTATCTTTGAGTTGAGATTTTTGAGAAAAATTTCAACACAATATTCTTCGTTCAATTTATTCGCGGGTTTCATTGATCAAAGAGTTGATAGTAAGGATTGGTCTCGGTGTGGATACGCATAGAGTCTTCGCACTATCGAAGAAAATTCTAAAACGAGTCACTCTTCACCAAGTACGTCTCAGATCCGATCTTTGACATGTAAATAAATTTTAAACACGAAAAATTATTATTGTCTTCCGCTGCGTGTCACGAACACGTATACGCAATCATTCAGACATATACAAAGAAAGAGTGAACCAGCTCAGCTTTCCGTAGCTGGACTGAGAAGCCCCATACGTTCAGCAAGGTTTTCTACATTAAATCCGCGACTCCACCAATATCTCTGGTTTTCTGCTAGCATGCTATCACACGTTAAGCCATTGATGTCTTTACTTACCATCTCAACTTCCTGCGGCTCAGATAAACCAGGAGTCTCAGTTAAGAATTGTTGCCAAAATACATCATTACCCGAGTTTGACACTGATTTAGACATGTCAGTGTTACCCTCAGCCTGATTTTTCGTCGCATCAATACTCATAGTACTGGTGATCTTGGTATTTGCATTAGTCTGATCTGATGGCTTAAGATGGCATTCGAGATTGATATAAATTGATGATATGACTGGACTCAAAGGTCCTCCTAACTCGGGCGAAGATTGTATATCCCTTGAAGGCGATGATGAGTGATCGATAGGAGAGTTTCTTTTACCAGAATCATCTGATGAAGTATCCATTTCGCGTATAACAATTGGTGAAGGTAAAGGTTGTGTATGCTCGAAATCATACATTTGATCTTCGGTTGGAGTCTTCCGAATTCCATATAGAAAACGTTCCCAAAAATTGATCGAAGATTCCAACTTTTTAACTATCTCAATGTCCAACTTAGGACCAACTATAGAGTTAGTTGCATTCTCTTCCTCAATCAAGTAATTGGAAACTAACAACCGTCTTTTCTTGCTGTTATTGTTTGTGTACTGAATAAAATCGGACGAAAATTCAGGCCTTTGCAATAATTGAGCCAAAAGGGATATTAATTTTCCCTGCCTCTGAACAATAGTCTGCAAACGTTGTTCCATAGACTTAACACCAAACTCATATTCTTGATTAAATTTCTCATGCTTTTCAGCTGATGACTGAAGTAAGCTATTTTCCCTTTTTAGCCTCTCAATTTCTTCTTCATATTCTTGTCTTTCTGAATCAGTCAATGGCGCCACAGATTGTGATCCTGTTGCAGAGTGGCTGTGAATCGGCTTTCGTCTATAAATGTTCTTCAATAAATGTCTCTGTCCCCTTAAAAACTCCTCATTTGCAAATTCCCATTGTTCAGGATCAACCTTTCTGAATCCCTATAGAATGATAATCAAATAAAACTTTGTTAAACAAAAAGTATTTAAAACTGAAAAAAGAATGGGAGTGTTGGTGGAATTGGTAAAGTTGTTGCAAGGATAAGACTGAAAGGTGGTCCAGCTCGTCCCCATACCCGCAAAGCAGGAGGTTAGTGCATTGGGCTGCCCTTTTATTTAAAACTGAAAAGAACTTAAAAATGAACTCAAAAGGATGGTCCACTTACATAAGTATTAAGTTGTCTGATAAAGCTGGAGAAGTTATTGTGTTTAAAGTATTTTGGAAGCAAATCTCTGGCAAACTCAGGTGGATTCCAAACAACAAAGCTACGGCCATTGTGATTCCAAGAAACGACTGGATTTGTGTACGGATCATCTACTAATTCATATGTCTTTGATAAGAAAGGTGCTGGAGCAGAACTTGAACCGCTGTTGCAATTATCCATCACTATACCAACCATATGAACATATACCAACCAATATTAAGAAGATCCTTAATTTAACGAACTTTTTTGGGTTTCTTATTTTCACGTCAAAGAGAAAGAGAAGGACACAACCAAGACTCAATTAGTATATGTGACTAAGAAGATTAAAAGAAAGAAATCCAGGTTTGAATGGGAAAGGGCAAGAAAATTATAAGAAATGAGATCATAAAGATAGGTGGTTTAGAAGAAACTAAAAGGAGAAGTGTATATAAAAGGGGGAAGGACTAAGGTGAAAAGAAAATAGTGTTTTTCTCATAAATTCAGATTGACTGGGAGAGGGAAGACTTGACTTTGAAATTGGATTGGAACAAGTGGTGGAGAGAAATTGGGCCATCTTGGGGTTAGGGAAAGAGTGCTCCCTCCTTTTTAATTTAGATAATAATATATTTGTATGAATTTCGATTAATATTTTAAAATATATATTTTTATCATATTAATATGGAAAAATTATAATTTGTAGCACTTTCCGTAATTTTTTAATATTTAAATTTAAAATATTGTATTGAACTAATATAATTTTAACTTCAAAGTTTAATCAAATTAATTTTTAATAAGCGAAATATGTCATCTAAATTAACAAGTATTATTTTTTGCATGGAATATTCAACGGTCCTTTTTGTTCATTTGTCTTTTGACTATTTTGCTTCGCTTTCAGCGTTCCAACTTTGAAGATATATATAGAGAGAGAGCACGAGAGTAGAATTCTGTAGTCAGAGGTATCATGATTTATGACTTTTTATTTTGTTTAGTAATTAATTAGGAGAGGCTGCTACTACTTTGACCGGGTGCTCTGTATTTTCCTTTTTACAATATTAAAGAGTGTACTACTACTACCGCACTTCTGACACTCCAGATATTTTGAGTCTAATTTATTCCCATTTTTTAGTGTACTTGCTTTGTTCTTACTTTCAATTGGTTGGTTTATTCAAATTTTGTATAGAATCTTAAAATTATTAATATGTCATTTATTTAATATTTATATATAATATGATCTTATACCATTACTATCTGCTATTATGATACAATTACCACTCTAAGCAAAAAAA